AGAGTAAGTAAAGCGACTTGTGTGATTTGTAAGCCATAAAGCTTCCATTTTTTCAATCTTTACAGTTGCTTATTGATCCTGAAACGTATTTTGCTCACCGATAACTACTCAATATACATAATAATCAGAATTTACGCATTATTTCTGTTGCAAAGTAGCATCAGTTATTCTCAGATTACTAGGTTCTTTAGGTGACTTCTTTCTTAGATGCACTCATAGAGTGATTGCCCAGTTTTATTCTCTTGCACTGAAGCCATTGTATCTAGCAGTTAATGATACCCTGGAATTTGAATTGGTGTGTGGTAAATTTATACATTTTGTATTACATATTTATATTCCAATGAGCAGAACAGTTTGAAAGAAATTTGATTATCGCATGCATCCCCCCAGGATTCACTCTGTCTACTCAAGAGAGTCTAATTGGCATTCCACATTTCAAGCAATTCAGTCAATTCATTATTCTCAGACTGCCTCTGATTTCAACTGGTCATATAACTCCTGTTCCTCTTTAATTAAAAATTTTCCAAGTATTGATTGTGATTTATCCAGTTAAAATCCAACTGTGATAAGAATATAAATCAAATATTTTCTCACATGTATATAAATTAGGGTTTTCTGAAATTTATTAAAAGTATTCAACAAAAATTGTGTTTCAGTAAGCAAATATACTATAATCAACACACAATTTTTAGACAGCATTCAATTATGGACTTGAGGTGGGAGGAATCGGATTATAATAGTAATCGTCTTGAACTCATCATGTGATCGGATGACTGTAAAATTTCATCATCCTTTCCTAACCTTGGTCTTGGTCAGGTTGCCAACCAATCAGAATAATTTCCTTCGACCTACCAATCAGAAAAATCTATTTCTCACTGCCTTGGGTCGATTTTATTGTGGTTTGAAAATATATATATGACGTGTTTCGCCTGATGAAGACCGTATCCTAACAATCACAGTCCAGTCTTTGTCTTCTGATATTGATGTACCTCAGTTAAGCGGTACGTAATAGGGACAAATAGGTGAATCTACCATATCGCATCAGTCCACTCGGTCATATCAACAGTCAATGAGATAGTATCCTCATGAGCTGACACCGGTTAGAGGACCTGGTAGTCCTGGACAGCTGTGTCGCCAGCCTAGTTTAGGACTCCTCGGTATTACACACCAACCGGGGGTCAAACCCAGGACCATCTGGTTACAAGACGAGCTCGTAGACCATTCAACTACTGGGTCCCTATCAGATGGCCACCCAATGAATTCCCATTTCTGCAAATTCACGACATAGCTCGACCACTAGCCTGTTTCTTTGGAGAGTATTTATCTTCACATTTAACCTGCTGCACCCTACTGGTCACGACTTCCCAATAGGACCCCAAATAACTACACACCTTAATAGGGCCAGAACAGCGCAGAAATTCGAATTCATGGGCCATTGGATCGGATCACAGTGTCTTAGTGTTTTACGAGCTCATCTTGTCACCAAAAGGCCCTGTGTTCGAACCCCCGTAGTGGGTGCAAACTGCTAAAGAGTTCCGAACTAAGCCGTTCAGTACTCCAGGGTTTTCTAACGGTTCTCTAATCGATATCAACTAATGATGAAATCCTGTAAACAATCAATCAGATCTCTATTAACCAATACTTGGGGATCATATCAATTGACGACAGTTCTATAACAAAGACTATAAGGTGATCTGAAATTTTGACTTCCTTCACAGTATTTGAGAAATAAATCGCTTGGAAATCAATGTTGCATCACCCTGACTAAAATAACTCAATCTCTATGTGAAACATTCTTTGCCTACTGACAAAATTGTCCAGTGAAATACGACTACTTACAATACTCTCAGAAAACATGCTATATACTACTTATTGACTGAAATAAGTAGTCATATACTGCTCACGTCAATCAGGAGTGCTCTGTAGACAGCCAGATAGAAGTGATCTATACGCCGAATCGGGTTTTCGCCAGTTTGGAACTAAGTTTGTCGCCAGTGTAGCCAGTTTGACTCAGGCCAGACAAACAAATCAGATTACCCATTCTGTTCAGGTATCAATAATAAACTAAAAGAAGTTCGAAAAATGTGTGTCTTTTAAGGGTGTTTTAATGTCAGCATACGACTTACCACATTCTCTACCATCTGTATCTGATCCTCCCGCTGAAAATATTTCAAAGCGTATGAAAAACTCATATAATCATGCGTCCACACTGAATAACAATAACAATAATAGTAGTGATAGTTTTATTCTGAACAAGGTTAATATAATGTAGAAAAGTTTCAGCGGAGTTTACTACAGTGATATTTTCTCTTTGTCCAGAATCTTCAAATGGGAGATTAATTGACAGTAGATTAAGAATAAGAAGGTTATGTTCCAGTGATACAACCGTCTGGGAACTGGAGCAACTCAGACAAGTTCTCATAGAGAATGGATATCCCCCAAGAAATATCGAGAAAAACATGAAGTTAAAGCAAAAGCTTGAAAGAACCCAGCCAGGACAAACTGCCACTTTGGACTGGCCACTTCAATGTGTGTTTATAAATTCACCTGCTCGTGTGGAGCTAGTTATATTGGCCACACAAATTTCACACTTCCAATACGCATATATGAACATTATCTGGCATGGTTGGTAAAAAGACAATGCAAGACAATTACTAGCTCAATTCTCGAGCACTTGGTGAACTCAGGCCACGTAGCTCCACCACAGTCGTCTTTCAAGATCATATACAAGGTGAGACAAAATGGTACAAAGGGCGTCAGGTTTTGATTTTTGTGTATGGCAGAGGCGCTGGCAATTCATCAATACAACATCGAGCTCTGTATACAGAAAACGTTTGTCCAGACTCTCATTCTACCATGGTCTCAACCTCTTCACTAGTCGTTCTTCATAAACAATTCTATTTTTAATTTTCAATTTTGCCTTTAGTTTGCTTTTGCTTTAATAATTAATTCACTATTATCACTCTCATATGTTCCTTCCGTATATTTTCACGTCCTCTTCACACTTGTTAGACTGACACTCAACTACCACCTTTATTCTCACTCAATAGCAATTTTAATCTTATCAAATTTCTAACTTTGTACCGTTGAGTACCACGTAATTTACAACTTTTATTTTTACTTTTTCAAGCCACTTCTGAGTAATTATATCAATTATGTCACCCCTCATTACTCAATAATAGACTACTACACGTGTTTTTCCTAAATATAAATACCACTGTACAGCCTCTGAAGGAGATTTCGTCGATAAAGAAAATTTTCTTCTCTGAATTGTCTTTTATTTTCTTCATGACAGTAGATTGTCCAACACAGTTCTATTTGACCTGAAGCAGAAACCAATCTACCATTATGATATTTCTTCTTCATCTACTTCGAGTAATACACGACGACATTTTGTCGAATGTCAATTATAAAACGTTCAGAAGTACATTTCGTGAACCAAAAACACTACTCAGGAACGGTCATCACATGTGGTGTTTCTATAGGCTGCCATGAAGTGTAATGCTTTTACTCATGTTTAGTAGAAATTTATGAGACCGTAGGTTGTGAATGTTTTAAATACCCGTCAGAGTAAACAGTAATATTTTACTAGATTTAAACAAAGTGAATTAGAAATCTATATGCACTATATTTATGGAGGTTTTCTGTAGCGCAGGTTTTAAGCAGGTCACCCACGTTAAGAATATAAGAATTAAACTGAAATACTTCAAAAGTATGTTAAACATAAGTCATGATATTTGAGCATAATAACATAGGCGAGTTTCAAAGTGCATTTATATACATATACTGAATCTAGCGAGTGAAACTTCTGACACTTACTGCAGGGATATTCAGGTTGATCTGAAATTATTTGGAAAAGTGCATTCGTGTACATAAAGTATAACACAATAGTGAGAAATCTGCAGAACTATTTCCGGGTTGAAGGTCAAATTAACGAGATAACGATGAGGGATTGAAATTGATTCATAACAGAATAAACGGGAAGATCGGATCAAAAATATGGTAGTATCATAATTATTGAAATAATGGACTTTTTGTGCAATAAGGAATTCAAAACATATTCATAACAAAATAGACAGGAATTTCAGATGATTACACGATTTCATCACGAGCTGTCATTGGTTAGAGAACTATTGGAAGACCTGGGAGTACTAGACAGCTGTTTCGCCCTAGTTTGGGACTCCTCAGCAGTACGCACCCACCAAGGTTCGAACACAAGACCTGTCCAGTAGTCCCAGGTTTCCCAATGGTTTTCTAATCAATGTCAGCTCATGATGAAATCCCGTAACCAACCAACCAATACTTGTATTTCAGATGAAATAAACAAACATTGTAATGACAATAGGGATTAGAAAGACGTAATGACGACAGTAATAAACAAGAAGTTTGTTTTGCGAAACTTGATAGGACAATCACTATTCACAGAAGAGACTGTTTATGGTTACAATAGCAACGATAAAGGTTAAACGTATTTCTCCTGAATACATTGCATAGGCATGAACGTTTGGATCGCTAGGACCCCAGTTATGCCTAAATGCCTCGATCTCACTCTCTTTCGAGAGATTTGATTGGGTCTTGTATAGGCCTTGGAAGGATGTTTCAAATGGAGCTGAATGTGTTGTGTTCACCGGATGTTTTCTAACCAAGCAATGTACACGCCTGCGTTCATCGTTTTCTAGCCAAGCTGGATAGTGTTCCGGAGCGCGCTTTACAAGTGAAGGCATGGTATGGCCAATGTACTCGATTCCATAGCATTAAGCAAGCTAGTGTATGTATTTCAAGGTAGCCGAGTGCAACAATGAGTACTGTTAAACTGTACCCCTTAAATAGACTATAATTCGAATACAACAATATCTACTGCCATACAAAGTAACAATACTCAACCATTGAAACTGATGAATTTACATGGGTATGCTTCAAGATCACCATGAAATGGAATGGTTGTGTAATTCACCAGATAAACTTCGAATACTAAGCTGACCATTAGACACAATTATTGATCAGTTTAAATTGAAAGTGCTTTTATTTGTTAAGTGTACACATTTTTCCTTACATTTTTCGCCGCAGAAAAATAAGCCTGAAAATAAATAAATATAAAAAATAATTGTCTGGTTCATAGAGCGAGGAAAATCTGTGCAAACGAATCTCTCAATGAGGAGCTTGAGATTACTAAAGAATTACTTAATTCAAAAATGTTCACTGAGATAGGTTCATTTATAAAAATACGAATTTAACACAAAAGCATACAAGTAGGTCAACAGCTCCAGTAAAATCTATTGTTCGTAAAACTGCAGTTCCTCGGTGACAGCATCTACGAAATAGTAACACAGCACCTAAAGAATACACTTAACATAACATTCAGTGCAGATCAGGTTCGTTGTCGTCTCCCTCCAACCCGTATTTTACCTTCAATAAATAAGGATAAACTACCTGAGTATGCCTCCTATATGTGTATCTACCAGTTTGACTGCGAATAAAGAGCCAGATACATCGGGCGTACAGTTAGGCAGGTTCATCATCACTTTCCTGAATATCATTCAGAATGATTAAGCAATGGACGAACAAGATCTATTCGTAGCTAGTTCTGTTTAAACACACTTTGTAGATGGTTAGCACAAAGTTGATGCTGTTACAGCATATAAAGTTACTTGTTCTATCTGTAGCATTAAGTGAATCCCTCAGAATATTTTTCTGGCCTTAGAAATGCACCAGAGTGGATTGAAAGTCAGTTAAAATTGCGCGTGAGTAGATTTTGCTTCTCAAGGAAAAATAAGTGAGTGATTAAAACAATAAGGATTCCAGAAATTTTGATTGAATTTTCTTGAATGAAAATTCAGGTAACTCAGTGATTCAAGAAGGTCGCTTTATAAGAATAGTCATATTCATGTTGACTTAATTCAAGTAACGAAGCAACCCAGTTGAAATCTCTTCTGAATTAAAGATGACATGGCAACTTGAAACTGTATATTTTCCCTGACAATAGCAGGTGCCTCATCATAAGTCGTTACTCTGTATAATGAAAAGACAGCATCAGTTTATCATGAATAGAAAACGCATGTAGACTCACAACGAGGTAGAGATGCGGGTACATCTAAAGAAGTTTTCAAAATTTCAAATTAAGTGATGTTAGATTTTATTCATTATACTCATATGGTTGAATGAAATGTGTTCAAAGTGTAACATCTGAAGATTTCAAACTGTGGTCAAGTGAAATACTTATGATATTATTAAATTTAAGTTGTTAAATTTTGATACTCAGCCTGTGCTAGAGTGAACCACAGAATGGCAGTCAAACTTCACTCCACCTCAACTTCATCGACTTGGAAAAAGCCTTCACCAGACAGCGTTGACCGAGGAGTAATTTGGAAACTAATTCAACACTATGACGTATCTCAAGTCTTTGTCAACCTCATTCAACAGATGGTTAAATGACAATGCCACGTGTCAGGTGATACACAACTGGGAGCTCCGCGAGGCATTCTGAGTGCATACAGGAGTAAGACAACACTACCCGCCTGTCAACAACAATGATATTCTAAATTTTGGTGGACTGGGTTATGCGTCAGACTGTGGGGAGTGAGGAGACAGGAGTGCGCTGTACCACCAATGAAAAGACTATAGAATATCCGGATTTCGCATACGGATGATGTATGTCTAATGTCACATACACTCGGAGACCTGCAAGCGAAAACCAACAAACTGTCAGAAGAGGCAGGCAGCAAAAACAGGACTCCAAGTGAACTCAGAGACGATGGAGATGATGAAGATAACCAACCGACAGCAGCAGCAAGAACAATCAGCACCAATCACTATCAACGGCAGAGATTTAACAAAGGTTACTTCCTTCACTTGTCTTGGAAGCATCGTTTCAACTACAATTGAGACGGATGAAGATGCCAAAGTCAGAATCGGAAAGGCAAGATACGCCTTCATCAACCTGGAACCAATTTGGAAATCGGCTGCACTAAACATAAGGAACAAGATTCGGGTTCTGTTCAACAAAATGTCAAGTTGATCCTTCTATGAAAGTCATAAACTTTTCCAGTGTGTAAATAAAGGGATTTCCAACAATTTGCAAACTTTCATCAACAGCTGACATCTTCGTTGGCCGGCTATATACTGAAGATCGAATGGCCAGCCGACTGGCCAGAAATCATTAGTAACAAGAAACGGTGGGAACAAATCAACCAAGAACCGATCGCTCAACAAATTCGCAGGAGAAAATGGAGATGGATCGATCGGGTATACATTGAGAAGACCGTTGAATGACATAGCGCTCAATGCAGGACATCACTCGAGCGCGATTCCAATCGTAATCGACGAGGGGTTCGTCGGTACGTGTGTGGCAAGAAGGAGGAGGAGGAGATGAGAGATTATGTGAAATCATGGATACAAGCTGAATAGGACAGCAGAAGATAGAAGAAAGTGGAGATGTGTTGTTGAAGCCCTGTGTTTCACTAAGAATTCAAGGGAAAAATATGGAACAACTGAGCAGCGTAATTACTTACTGAGCCTAATACACTATATTGTCTTGATAGTAGGCGAACAGTAACCACTCAGAAACCCAGAATATATTAAATTAGCCTTAATATAGTGACCTGTAGGACGTCAAGTATGCGTAACTCAAGCCATTTGAAAGTACACATTTCAGTTTCTGGGAAAGAAACTTCCCTATGAAACGACATTCCATCTGATAATATGACTACTACCTCTATTACCTCTGAAAATAAACACAGTACTGAACTTACTGTCATCGCAAACAGTATTACCTTTGAAGGAGAAATGAAATTCTTCATTAAGAATTGGTGTATTCTAACACATAGTTGACTGTTCTGAATTAATTCTGCCTTCAGCAAATGCCTTTTATTTGAAATTATTATTATTGATCACTAAGAATAGTACTACTTATGAACTAACCATCAGTAGCATTAGTAATCAATTTAAAAATTCTAATATTTCACTAAGTTTCAAGATTGTTAACGGAAATTCGCTACTGGCTAAACACTGGCTGGCGATCGCGCCATATATATTGCAAACTAACAGATATTTCAATTCATCCAATGAGTCATATGACTCCGTCTCAGTTGCCAGTGAATGGTCAATAGGGCTTCATTGTAACGTAAAATCCTGTTTTCGATCCATCGTAGCATCATGAATGCGTACTACTGAAGACTCAAAGATGAGGACGAAACATCGATTCTCCAGCTGAAGTCATTTCATGACCAAAGTTTCAATCAACCAAATCTCTGGTAAGCAACCCTTGAGTAAAGTAAATAAACTACTGGCTACCGTAACGGTAGACTGGATTTAGGTTCCCTATGTTAAACATGATATACATTCACAAATGTTTGTATAACTGACATACAGATATAGCGACTTCCAACTGAAAATAAGATTTTAATGTTATACAAGCTTAATTCATTCAGTTTTATCAAAATAGAAATTTATAATAATTAAGCAAATTAATGCGGCAAAATGCCTACTCAATCTACATAAACTGTATAAAGAACGTTTTAAGTGGTTAGTTTTGTCTTTTAGAGGCTAGAGACGAGACTCTCCAGCTGATGGATTAAAAAACAGACCGAATGCACATCATGGATTCCAAGGCTAGTCACTGGTTTACCGAATTGCTTCAAGTTATTTGCACAGACGTTGTCGCAGCATCCATTATAAGAGTCGATACGTCAACAGACGCCAGAAATTTCAGTTTAATGAATCAAATGGCAAAATCGAAATTGGATTTAAAACAAGTAGTGACTGCTACGTATTGCACAACAGGTTGCTCTCATAGCTTAATTGGTCTAGTGGATAACGCTTTGATGGGCTCCACTCTCAGTGGGAATACCAACAATCACTAGGGAACTCAGGTACATCCAGCTGACGAGTTCTCAACTGGAAAAATATGCATCTTAGATTCGATGGTTAGTCACCATCTACCTGAAATTTACTCTATGAAATGTTCAAAACTAGTTGTGAGTAGTTCATTGTAGATGGGAAGGGAAGTGAAATTTATCATTCAAAGTTTCTATTGGTGGAAAGGGAATATATAAATAATTCTTTCAAATCTCAAAGCCAATTTCAATGACTTTTATTCATTTGGACTGGTAAATTCCAACTGAAAACCCCTTTACAATTTAGTAGTCTGGATTACCCGAACAGATGCCACGTGTTACCATAATGTCCAACTTAAATGTACTTGCCTAGTAGTTAATATCTTTGGTGTTAGATGGTTGGAGGAAATCGGCTATAGGAAGCTCACTCTGAACTAGGTTTCATACTAGCTGGAACTCATCAGTCAGCAAGACGTCGTTTCTGAAACCTTGAAGAAACTTGTGTTCCTTCTGAGATTCGAACCAGCATCACCCAGTTCTGCAGTCATAGGCGACATTACCACTAAGTTATTCGTGCTGGCTGGAGGTTGACCTTCTGTAGGAATGCATTTGATACTTTTAATTGGACACTAGTCAGTAACTATTGTAATGTGTCTAGTCCTGTCTTTCGTGCAGAGTGAACTTTGACAGTCGCGTTTGTACTGTGGCCACCATGCCACTTGGTGGCTCAGCGTCATGGAGAACAGTGAATTGTTGGTATTAGATGGTTAGAGGCAACCGTCAGTATGCCTTGACTATTTTTAGATTATTCAATAGTTATTTGCACAAAATGGTATTATTTCGAACAGGTTTACTGTCATTAGTAGAATCTAAAATGGGTGTTTCATAATGTTTTCTTCTATTCTGCAGGATCCCAGTTGATGATGCTTTGATATTTTTGAAACGATGGATTGTTGCACTATGGTTCATCAGGATGTGAAGTCATCTAACTGACAAGTTTAAGCGACAGCGAAAGGCACGTCGTCGACCCATCATCTGCCAACCACCGTCAAGCGAATATCCCTAATTCATCGATAACTGATGAGGTTTTTGAACACATTTTTTACATTGATTTAGAAAACTGAAAATCTTAAGATATTGAAGATTTACTCACAAAAGTAATTTCATCCCCACTTTCCTGACATGCAGTGTGTTGCGAGACAATACGTCAGTATAATTCTTCATGGCTCTCTATGACGGCGAGCATGTTTTCTTTCTGATGAGTAGGCCTAACTGATGGCGAATGCATTATATATACTTTGTAGTAAACACATACATAGTTAGAAATGAAGATTGAAACTGTGAAAATACTGTTTATTTAGCCAGTGTTGAGCAACTTACCAGTCAGTTGACAGTCAATTTTACCTATAAAAATATTAGAGTTAATTGCAAGGTTAATGTAGGCATAGAATAAGGACACTATAGCAGCATACAACTCCATCAGTGATAGAAGAGTTTATCAATTCAAATTACTCGGTGATAAAATGATACGATATGAAAGTTAGGATCACGGAAGTAAGACACACCTTTATTACTCCAAAACTAGTATGCACATCTGCTTCACTCTGAATATGGAAGTAAGATTCAGCGTTTTCAACAGTAATATCGAATCATTGCTTCATACAATCGGCGCATCATCCGAAGGAATTTCCATTAGGCTTCTCCTCAGCTGTCTCCCCTGGCTGTGTTACTGAACATTGGATGATCAGAAAGTATTAGCAACAACCAACCCTGATAACAAACAAACCAAGGACATACTGCTCAATGAATTTGCCAAAGAATATGGGAATAGATTTGACATACGCTAAGGAGACTTTCAAATGATATCGTGCGACAGCACAGTGCTTGACAGAAACTCGAATGAGAAATAATGAGTTGGGAGTGAATCTGAGGGTAATATAAATGAGAGATGGTGTAAGAAGTAAAATTAAACCTTCCGGCTATTTGTTCAGCCAGCTAATAAAAAATCTCGAGAAACAAGGTGAAATATCGATGCGCTGGTGAACGTACGGCGTTCCATTTGGAAAACATGAACAGAATATTGCAGAATGAAACAAATTCACTCAGAAAGTGAGTGACCCATTATTCTCCAGTCTGCTTATAGCAGGAGAATGTATCACTCAAGGAACTAAATAAGCTGAAAGAAAGAAAAGTTTCAGATAAATGGTTTCAAGAAATTAGTAGTTATACCGATTTTATAGTTTATAATAACGAAATTTACTCCATTATGGGTAAATTTTTATTTTGATAGAGTCTCACAGTGTTATACAGTAATATTTACTGATGACGTTTCGAGCACAATTTATTGCTCATAATCCTATCAAGGGTACCTTGGTATAGGCGAATGTAATTTACTTTTGTGATTATAAAATTGTACCATGTTAAAATAAAATGCAAAATTTACGTACACTGTTCTGTAGTTAGTTTTGCACCTATAATAAAAGAGACACCGAGAAAGAGTGTGTGTGACATTTACAGTGTAAATGTGCATTTTAAATTCATGCAGACTTACCTCAAACATCGACTATCCTCATTCCCTTCGAGATAGTTATTCTGACTGTCTGCGCTCATTAACAAGTTTATCAACAATAATGATTTGGAAAATCGCTGTCAAATTATCAACGAATCTTCAAACTGATATCAATCCATGAACAGCTCACAAAAAACAATCTAATCCTTACACACCAACGAAAGAAAATTAATCTGATTCCCGCTAGTGGCTGACTTGCTATAGGACGGAGTTGTCTGCACTTCTAGTGAGAAGTCGTGACCAGTCAGGGGTTCATCCACTCAAGTATGAGGATGGATATCCCACCAATGACATTGGTTTGTGGCAGTCGCGCTAAATCACGGATTGGTAGAAGTTAGAATTTATGGGCTGGCCATTGATTGAATCGGGTCCCAGTGGCTGAATGGTATACGAGCTTGCCTTGTAACCGGAAGGTCCTGGCCTCGACCACTGACAGCGGGTGCGTACTGCCGATGATACTTGAAACTAGGACTAGTCAGTGACCACTTTTGATGCAGAGTGAATTCTGTCATTAAAGTTTACAATGTTGCCACCATGCCACTGAGTGACGCGCCATCACGGCGCACATTAAATTGTTGATATTAGATGATTGAACTGGACACTTTACACTAGTCACTGACTGGTGGCATAGCCGTTGGGACGTTCGCCAACCATACACATGGTACGGGTTCGCTCCCCGGCCGATGCACACCTGGTATCAAAATAAATTTGGGCCATAATTTTTTCCTGTCCTCCAAAATCGTCTATAGCTAGACCATCGACTGTCCATGGGCTCTCAATGTTTCCTCTCACGATCACCCTTATATCACAACTAGGCGATCAACTCATCATTCCCTAATTGCATTCCACTCCAGTGCCAGTCTAGCGCGCGACTTTACCCGGAGGTCTCGTCAACATTTGTATTCCAACCATTTCCTTTCACATATTGAGGTTATTGATTGGTTCATTCTTATTGCGAATTCTTCCTGTCCAGCGGACCATCTGAATTTCGTTATGGAGTCTGCGAATGGACCAGTTGTTCATGCAAGTATTGAGAAGCCTGTTGAAAAATGTTTTCGTGACTGACAAAAAGAACTGTTTTAGGAAGATAAATTATTCGAAAATATGTCACCTTCTTGTCTGTTAGTGTAATGATATGAGTCACCAATTTGTTACAGACCTGTCGCTTATTGATATGATCTCGCTGACAGCTGATATGACCGAGTGGACTAATGCGTAGGTATAATAATACTAATACAATGGAAAACTCAACCGATATGGTAGATACACCTATTTGTCCGTGGCACCCTGCGCTTCACTGAGGCACATCAATATCAAAAGACATAGACTAACCTGTGACTCTTAGGATACGTACTTTTTATATATATTTTTTAAGCACATTGAAATCGCCCTAGGGCAGTGGGAAAAAGATTGTCCTAATTGGTAGGTGACTCGGCTACGTTGGAGAAAAATTACTCTGATTGGTTGGTGATCTGACCAAAACCAATGTTAGAAAAAGATGAAATTTTATAGTCATCCAATCATAGGATGAGTCATAAGACGATTACTATTTTAATCTGATTCCTATCAGTTAGATGCTAGGGTCAGTCAGCAGGCAACCGTGAACTTGGATCTCGTATTTATTGATATTTATCAACAAAGTTAAATGAACTCACCGGTACAACTTTGTTTGCCTACAAATATTATTCAAATTCGTCTTAAAATATTTTAAAAGAATAGAAAATTATCTTTTACTACTGATGAGATATTCATATTAATTCTACTATTTCTGATGACTGAATTCTTCATTACCATTTTGACATTGTGCTACTGATAAGATTTATCAGTAGTATATGAAGATACGTTCATCGACATTAAAAAACATCCAGATGGCAGTAAAGGGAAATGATACAGAGTTGGGGAGATACATGGAAGATATGAAAGGAACGTAAAGAAACACAATCTGAAGGCCAGAACTTCCAAAACACGAAGATCTAAGCAAACGGTGCGTTGAAGATAAGGTATACAAAATTTATGTTCTCCACCGTTTCCATTTTCAGGTGCTTTTATAAACTACCAATTAGGTGTTCATAAGTCTTTAAAATCCCATTTTATTCAGTACAGTTTAACACTGGCTCTTGAACTTACATGTTTCGTAATCACTGTCACTTGTTGCTGTGATAGAAAAGTGTAGACATGTGCATAAGCTTGAGTTATCTATTGATTTACTGAAGTTTCATTTCTTCATTCTCAAGACAGTTTGGTAAAAATGTACAATAAATTGCATCAGTAGTACGAAAAATAAAACAAAATAATTCACTCTGCAGATAATGAACGAATTCTTCGTGGGTTTTGTCAGGATTACATTGACATACACTAAGATACAAATACCGACCTCGCTCGTTTACCAGCTGATCACAAACCAGGTAAGAGAAGGAAGGTTTGGCGTGAAGCTGGTGACTCTACCCCAAGAAAATCAATCCAATCGATGCAGAAACCTCGAAGCACAACAAAAATACAAAATAACAAACTAATTCTTCCCTGGAAATGGAGAGATGAAATGACACAGTCGACTGGTGAACGTCTTCGGAAAGCCAGTAACCAATGTTTCCTCTTTCCATGAGATAAAAGACAGGTTTAAGGACGTGGAATTTTCACATAATTCTTGAAGTTAGGAAGGTTGCTGAGGTCGCATAGCATATGAGATATGATTTGGAAGTGCTAGTAATCTGTGACAGCTGGTGGTGGAATGGATTTGGACTATCCAAATAACCAACTGGACAATCGGTAATCTACTGTGGTAACCCAGACGACAACCACGAATAAAGTGAGGGAGTGGCTATTATTATATCATCAATAGCAGCCAAAGCTTTTAATGCAGTGGGATGCAATCTCCTTCTGCAGGATAATGACAGCAAAACTCAACTCAAAATGAAGCATGGTTACAATAATCCAACACTACGTAAACACAATGTGAAACAGATTTTTCCTGATGGACACACCAGAAACCAGACGGACTTGATCTCAATCTCAAGGAAATGGAGACACAGTTTGCTAGATACGTAGTCGGGAAATCGAGCAAATGTGTGTTCAGACCATTATCTAGTGCAAGGAACCTTCAAGATCAAGATGAAAGTCTTCAGAGCAACTGTAGGCAGATGACAATTCAAGTTCATTGCACAGAAACGGAGAAACAAAACTACAAAAGACACCTTCACTGAAGCTGTCACAGTGAAGTCGGCGACACTAAGTAGAATCAATGAAGAAATCAAGGTAGGAGAACATTAGAACTCAGTGAAGGTGAGGGTCAAGGAAACGTGTATAGACCAACTGGTAAGCAAAGCAGATAGGCCATAGGTACTGGGGACCTCAGAACACTATATAAGATAACCAGGTGGCCATCAGGAAAGAGATACACACAGATGAGAGCAATGAAAGGTGGAGATGGACATCTGACATCAGACTGACAATAAGGATCTAGAAGATATGAATTTCGCGGATGAAGAATATTTACAGGCGAAAACCAACTGGTTGTCAGGAGAAGCAACAAACACAAGAATTCAACTGAACATACAGAACACAGGGGTGATGAAGATAACCAAACAACCACGATGAGCTTCAGTCAATATCAACGGCAGAAATTTGAAAGGGATCACCTCCTTCACTTATCTAGGCAAAATCCTTTCAAATACTGCCTGATGGCATGAATGATGATGTCGAAATCAGAATTGGAAATGCAGGACGAACAGAGGTTCATCACTCTGAAATCATTCACCCTGGAAATCTCATCAACTCAGCACGAACAACGAAATTCTCATTTTCAACACGAATGTTGAGTGAGTTCTTCTCTATGGATGGAAAACCTGAATGTAACGTCACAAAAATATTTTCCAACAGGCGTCTGAATACTTTCATGAACAACTGTCCTATTCGCTAACTCGATACTGAATATCAGATTGCCGGAATGTTAGAACGAAGTATGAACAAGAAACTCTGGAGACCAACCAATCAAGAAACTATTGCTGATCAAATTTTTAATAAGGAAATGGAGATGGATCGGACAAACTCTGAGGAGACATCGGCTGGGCAACATCGCCGCTCATACTGCTCCTCAAGGGGAGACCGTATGCTAAGCAATAACTCAGGCGGCTGAGGATGACATGCGGGAGATTGTGTGGGGAGGTGATAACAGCCCATGGACAACCGTGCGTTCAGCGGAAGATGGTTGCAGAGAACGGGACAAAATGGAGATGTACTTTTGAAGAGGTATATCCCACTTGGAGCCCGAAGAAATAATGAAAATGGGTAGCGCTGTATCGTATCGTCTTTAGCAAGAAAATTGTCTATGATTTGAACTAAGATTTAGATGTGCGCTTTCAAAGATTTGACAGCACACTGTTATTCTCTACGTACATAAGTATTGTTAATATTCATACTTACAATTCTGTGAGCATCCTAGTGTACCTGAAATAAAGGTGAATGATTTTCCAACATATTCCATAACATGTACAACATACTGAACAAACTAAGCATGCAATAAATCAAATCGAAAATCTTCAAATACTCCCTAACTTCATAGTTCTAATCTGATGAAATACTGACATTCAACAAAAAGGTGAGAATAAATCAAAATTATCTCTGAAATAAACAAATCCAAAAGTGTGTGTGTGTAAAATAAACTAGGTGTCAATGATTGTGAACATTGAACATTTGCTCATCGGCCTTGGCTGCCATTGGCGGGCAACTTGAAGGCGCGAGTGCTTCGATTGTGTACAAGTTGGAAGAAGAAGACGAAAGAATACGAATAAAAGTACATTTCATTCCTTGTAACACTTTTGTTTATAGACTTTTTACAGAGTATTGATTTTAACTGTGGAATAATACAATTTCTTGTCATTCCTTGTGTTTTGAAGTTAATGTCGATTTGGTACATAGTATAATTGTCGATTCGAGCATCTTCGGAAATAATAGGAACTTAGGCTTAAGTTCCTTGACACTGGGAGTTTTGAATTTTAAAATCTCATCGTCTATCGTTTAAACCAACAGTAAAGCATCGGTGGCTCAAGTGTAGAATGCTCTTTATTCACACACATACAGTTCAGGTTAAATTCCTAGGCGACATCGCTTCGCCAGTTAGCTACAAATGCGGGAAGCAGGGGAAGTACTGCGTGAGAGTAGCAGCCCCACTTGGGTAGAATAAAATCAACGTTATTGAAATTTCAAAAGCTTGACCCATCGTGTTTCACTGGGGACTTCAGGAATTGAGCAGAAACAACTTGATTTAAAACTGACTCACTTGTCAACGAGATTCTTATTAAAGTCTATGATTTCCCCCAAGAACACACAGGTGTTCCTTTTTCATTGTGCTCATACAAAATAATGTCTTAAATTTAGTATGAATAATCATTTCAAATGAGTCTCTCTGAGGACAGAACACTTACAAGTGAAGAAAACACTTAATTTATACAATTTTCATTATCGCCACAATAATAACACACTTACAGTAGAATTTTTGTGCACCCGTTTCTGAATAACAAAGTGAAAATAGGGATTCATTTTACACACTGTGGCGTGTGCTACTGGTAAGACTTATCAGTAGTATATATAAAGCGACGCTCATCGGCACACAAAAATATCAAATAGTGGAGTGATAGAATTGACGTCAAACGGAGCGAATTTACCAGCATTGCCACAAAACAAGGAGGACAAGAAAAGAAGATAAAGAAAGATAATACGAATGGCAGAAGTGATCCACAACACGGAAGATCTGTACAGCCAAATGATGATTTTTAGATAAAGTGTAGTTTGTTCGAAGTGCCCTTCGTGACGCAGCACGGTCCCAAGTCTCTGATCCGTATAATAGCACTGACTTCACATTGGAGTTGAAAATCCGAGTCTTATTTTCATTTCACGCTGAGTGCTGTTGACCTCCAAACAGACTTGAGAGTAATGAAAGCTTGCTTGCCTTGCTTTCCCGATCCTCGCTTTGATTTAGGAACGACCCAATCAATAAGCTGTTGGTCAATGCAATAATAATAAGGAAATGCAGATGGATCGGACACCCTGTGAAAATATCACTGGATGACATCGTGCTCAAGGTCGGTTCTGGAGAGGAGCCCTAATGTGAAGCAATCGATGAGATGTAAGTCCATATGTGATATGGAACTTATCATGCATGGAAGAGGTTTCAGACATTGGGTAACTGTGGATCCACTTGAAGCCAACTGCAGAGAACAGGAGAGAATGAACATATGCTGTATGTTTCAGTGGAATCCCAAGGTAATTTTAATACCACTCATTATTCGTGCTACCAGTCAAAATCCAGATGTTCTGTGGAACAAGATTATCAGGATCTTTATAGAAAGGACCATTTAAGTCTTAATAAAGTTGACATCTAATACACTACTATAAAGTACATTTCGATTTGATTTCAGTAGTACTGTTTACTGACCTTTTGAACACAGCGTACCACCTGAATTGAAAATATCAGAACACAAAAATGAGAATAAGAACTTCAGGATGTTAATAATAATTGTAAGCGAATCAACAGTCAACAAGGTGACATGAATAAAGATTAACCCTGAGTAAATGTCATCGCATTTTCATCCGTCTCAAACTCTGGAATGTTTATTCGCTGTCTGAAATAGTATATTTGCAGAAACTGTACAAACCTCGCCTAGTTAACGAGTTTGCTAGTTTCTAGGGGATGCCAAGCCATGGTAAAGAGGGAGCATTGGGCGCTAGCGAAAATTCAACGCGCAGAAAATATATTAACAATACAAAAAATGCAAATAAAAATCTTATTCTTCACTGGAATCGGAGAGGCGAAATGAAACAGCGGGCTGGTGAAAGCCTTCATGAAGCCTATATGTCTTCCAGCGATGAAGGTGAAAATAAGAATGGGGACCCGGAATGTCCGTACAATGTAGGAGATTGGGAAAGCTGCCCAGGTAACCAAAGAAATGCGAAGATACGGCATATAACTGCTGGGTATCCATGATAGCAGATGGAATGTTTGAGGTCTGTTAAAATTGTCTACTAGAGAGTCAGTAAGTGACTCTGGTCTGGTCACAGGGACTATCGTCGTGGCAGTGAGTGGCTTTCATGATTCCACCAGTTGCAGCTAAAGCCCTATTGCAGTGGGAACTAATTTCATCCTGCAGGATCATGACAGCAAGATTCAACTCCAAAGGAAGGAAGGTAACATTTATTCAATGCTACAAACAGTGCTACAAACAACGCGGAACCAGTGGGGAAGAAGGAAGACTTTTACAGACAACTACTAACAGTAATGGACAACATCTCAAATAGTAACATCAAAATCCTCATGGAAGATATAAATGCCAAACTAGTAACAGATAATACAGGAAGAGAACTCGTGATGGGTCGAGAGGCTCTCACTTGAGGAAATGAACGAGAATAGAGAATTAATCGCAGACTTCTGCGCATTCGATGATTTGGTGATTGGAGGCAGCGCGTACAAACACAAGAATATACACAGTGCAACATGGATTTCACCGGACGAAAATACCACATATCAAAATGATTTCATCTCAATGCTTCTCAAGGAAGTGTAGACACAGCCTGCTGGATCCAAAGTAGAGGAGGAGAGCAGAAGTGGGTTCAGACGATCACCTGATGCAAGAAACTTTCAAGATGAAGTTGAACCGACTTTGTACTGTTTTTCAGTTGGCTGTAGAAGTTCATACGCCTCCAATTCTGTGTATTTATAAGTTTTCGTCAAATAACTAACTACTACTATTTACCTACATCCGTTCATGTCAATTAAACATTATTGATGTATTCATTCAAAGAACCAGAGAAATGCTTTAACTGACTCAATAAAATCAACAAAAAATTAAATGTGCAAGCAAACTCTGATGCTCCCAGGTGACTGACTATAGGTCGAAGCTGTTTTTGGAGTTCTAGTGAGGATTCATAACCAGTGGGTTCCACCTGGTTGAACCTAAGGATGAACATTCGCCACCAGTGACATTGGCTGGTGCCAGTCGAGCTAAAATCATCAACTGGTGGAAGTTGATTGGGTCTCAGTGGCTGAATGGTCTACAAGCCTGCTTTGTCACGGCAGTGTCCTACGTTTGAACCCCGGAGGGTGTGAATCGTTGAGGAATCTCAAAATACGATGAAGCAGCTGTCAAGTACTCCAAGCTAGTTCTCTGCGACTCTCCAATTTGAAAGAAATCACATCCGTACAAATTAAGTCTTGAGTAGTTATAAACATATATTACTTAGTCCATTGATTTACTGTTACGTCACAGTACTGTTAAATTATTGTTTTGAACAAAAGATAAACTCACAATCTTTTTTAGCGAAATTGTCTGCAATAAAATTGAGTAATTGGTTGTTGGTAAAAGTATGATTCCAGTCTTTGAATGAAGTGATAGATTAATTAATGCAAAAACCATAAAAGGAAAACCTGGATTAACTCAGTGTTGCCAAGAATGGAAATCGATTTATTGAGACTGTTCTAAAATAGAAGAACTAATGTCTCCCATCCTTACAGGTCTATGCATGCTGATATTTATTTGTGGCTCAACACACACGTACACACTCTCTATCTCTCCAGTCAACTTCCGTTAAACATATACGAAAGTAAATTAAAGGTTTCATTTTGTTAATACACTGATTCATCCCTTTCATAAAAAGTATTTCCTGTGACCTTTCTTGGTATTCTCAAATCATGTTAGTGACTACAGAGATATTTCGTAATCTGGTGTCTCTAAATCGTTATTTTCCTCGACTACTGAAGAAAGGCATTGATAAACCACGTAGGGAACTAAAAGCTGTCAGTGGGGAGACTTGAGTGTCTGCAAAGCTGTTTTATACACTGAACCTCCTACCCATCATTTTAATATAATTGGTTAAACAACCAAGAATTTAGAAAGACTGATTTATTCAAACTTGTAAATGAAGATGGTGAGTATTCACGACTCCGGAGTCTTAGAGAGCAAATACAACAACCAACTGTGAGACTGAATGAGTAAATGGTTGCATTCTTACTTTCTTGATAGCAAGCAGTACACTCTATGTAGAGGGAATTCCTCCAGTGTTCTACATATTCTAGCCGGTGTTCCTTAATGGTGCTGATCTTTCTCCTTTTCTGTTCTCTTACTTCTAACATGACTAATCGCATACTGATGAAGCCAATTTTAGATATGATGGAGAAGATTTGTAGCTCAGGTGGGTGATTTTGACGTGGTTGTGTTCTCTTAGCTGGATAGTTAATTTGAGAAGCTTTCATTGCTCTATCAGGCAACATCTTCAGCGCATACTTCAGTTTGAAGCTTCGCAAATTAACTATCTAGCTCAGAGAACACAACCACTCCAGAAGTCAATTTTGTTAAGTGTGCCGATGATCTAACTGTTTCCATGTAGACTACTTCCAAGTCAAATTGTTCTAAAATGAAAAACGTTCCATCAGAAGTTAGTCAGAGGTCCTTGTCAAATGGTCTTAGGCTAAATCTCTTCAATTGTCGGGCTGTGAACTTCACTTTCAGATACAGGTGGGATTCATAAGCTCTGGCTCGTTTTCATAATTCTTGAATCATTGAAGGCACTGGGGTGGAAACTAAGTCAAATCTTAAATACCTTTGATCATGTATTTCCTCTGATCTTCCCAGGCTTTCACATATCATATTAGTGGCTAGGAAGATATTTCGTTTAACGTTCTACTTAAGAAAGTCAAGACATTTAGGCACTATGTAATATGAAACGAAAATTGGATGCCATGTTTTAATACACGCTGAAAATTCCATATTATATTGGAATTGCTGTTTGGAATAAAACTATTATCCTAAAAGAATGGTCACTGAACAAAGAATATTCACATTTTCGATAGCCTGCTCTTCATCATCAGGTTCTACAGTTATTTATCCATCCATAATAGTGAGTGAATGAATTAGTGTTATTAACAACGTCATTAATGTTGTTTAAATAACATTGAATCAATAATAATAGCAACAATGTATTACAATTCACTATCATCAAGCGAACAATAAACTGAATGTCAGAAAAATTAGGAAAGATAATAATACAAATTCATGAATATATCGTCTCCACTGAAGCCCGGTCAGGGCAGTAGTAGGGACTGGCTGGACTTTCCTTTTCCGCAAACAAGGCACTTGTTGCTTCATAAGAATCGAGATAGCCTCTGTTGTTGTGAGTATGCGGTACCTGGATATTATTTGGTACCCTGCAGATGATAGAGAAGGATTCTTCAATGCTGACTGGCTTTGTCGCCGGTCGGTCTGGACCAAGTGGTCTATTATCAAACTGTTGATGGTTCTTATTCTTTTATTTGGCCACACTGGTAGATGTTCCTTAGCGAAAACCTAAAAATCAAGTTTTCAGAGCAACGGCCAATATAACTCGCTCCACCACAAGAGCAATTGAATTGGTAGATAAAATTAGAAGTGGCTAGTCTAGGTGGTTCGTGTTTCATTTGGGAAATCACCATCAGTCGTGTAGAAAATATAACCTGTAGTTTACCAGCATTAAAGATTTTTTGAATAGAATTTCTTTACTTTTTAGTAATTACTTCACTAGGTGCATCACCCCTGAATTGCAGTCGTATATATAAAGGCTTCTTATTTTTTTTATTATAGCCTGAAACCACACACTAATTTTGGTACAAGTATGGAATTTTCAGCATGTAATATCGGTAGCCCAAATTTTGCAGGCAGACCATTGATATAGGGTGTGCATCGGTAGTGGATAGAACCATGGACCATGTGCACGGTAGACGAGAGTCCTAACTGTTGTGCCACCGACGCACAGATGGAGAATAGTCGTTTTCTACTTTTTTGGTCATGCGTTTCTAGAAGAACTTTTCTGGATAGCCAATTTCAATTAAGGTGTCATATGCAATCCTTAGTTAATCTTCAGTTGCATCTTCTGAAAACACAGCTCTGACCCTGTAGCTGAGGTTCCTTATTAAATTTCTTTCGTACTTGACGGAAACAAAGCTATGGAAATGTGTATATTGTCGTATCCATGTGCTTTTCCTGTGCAAATTTCTCTTTAAACTGCCATCTAGTTTTCTTGTGAGAAGGACATCCAGGAAGGCGATCAATTCTGTTTTGGGGTTCCTTTTCACAAGTGAATTTCATAGCTGAATGTACTTCATGAGTCATTATTGCGTTCCTATCCGAATCACTATCACAAAGAATAGAGGTATCATCCATGTAATACCGACAATAAAATGAGAATTTTCTGATAGGGTGGTTGTTCAAAGGTCCATTTTCTAGTTTACTTAGAAAGAAATCTGCCAAAATGGGACCCAGTTTATATTATTGATTCGATGTTATTTAAATAACATTAATTTCGTTATTAATAACACTAATTCACTCATTGACTATTATGGATGGTGGCACAGTGGTTAGGACTCTCGCCGACCATGCACATGGTCCGGGGTTCGATCCCCTGCCGGCGCACACCCGATATCTATGGTCGGCCTGAATTTGGGCTACCGATATCCATGCTGAAAATTCCATACTTGTACTGAAAATACGGTGTGGAATCAAGCTGTAAATCAAAATATAAATATAAATATGGATGGATATATAATTGTAGAGCCTGATGAAGAGCAGGTTATCGAAAAGAATATTTGTTTGTTCAGTAAACATTCTTCTGAAAATAATTTTAATGGGCATTTTTAATCAGTTAACGCTATTGATATCATTATTATTGTAACTATCCCAACAAGAATTTCAACACTTTTTTATGTTTCACAGGTTAGTAGTTGATGTGATAAGATAAAGTGAAATTAATGAAGGTTACTCTCCAGAGTGTTAACTTACAGATCTTGCATTTTTGTTCACCTGTGTTTTACAATGCAATACAATTTCGGTTTCATTTAAAAGGCGAGAAGATAAAGCAGAATAAATCAACCAGTTCTTATAAATGTTAAATTTTAAACCCTTGACCATCAAACGTTAGCGACAACCCGAATTTTCTTTCCATTTCCTGCTGATAGTTATGCCCAACCAGAGGATAGCGTGATTAAAAGCTATTCCAGGAAGAGAAGAACCTCCCGGGACACTGCAAAATGGTATTAAATACAATTACGGATAATGCATCATTACAAGTTCATTTACAAGATATAAACAAGAAGGAGGTGGCGAATCCTTGGAATGATAGTATACATTTGCAGTGTCTAATGCTAACCATATATATTGGTCTTATCATGGAAACTATGATGTCTTCGATGAAGATATAGCTTTGTTCAAACATTGGTGTTGTTGTGTTTTGATCAAAACAACCAGAATTTAAGCGAGGGACGAATCTGAGAAAAAAGCAAGTTTTAGCTTGAATAAAGGCGTAGTTAAGATCAAATAGAGTATAGTAGTGCGTAATTAAAAAGATTATCGTGAGGAAGAGAAGTGATATTTCAGCGAGAGGTGAATTGAAAGACCTGGTGGATTAGAACCCATAGGACAAGCTGACCTGTAAGATGTCTCACAAATTTCTGTAGGGCCCATGGCGTAGCATCTTGACAAGAAGTTGAACAGGCTTGTAGATGGTGAGGGCAAAAGCATTTTTATATGTCACACACACAGCGAAACAGTATTATTTACTGGATGACAGTTTCAAACACAGTTTAATACTGTTCATAATCATATTAACCAATTATAATCACACAACTTCGAAACTTCCGTTTTATAGTTTCATTCATTTTTTTCCCAGTTGTCATAGAGGTAGCGGAATTCTCCATATGTCTGGGACAGGCATCAGTAACATCAGAAACGTCATCCAGTAAATAATACTATTTTACTGTGTGATATACACGTATGTAATAAACAAATCAATATGGAATTATAAAGCAAGATGAATGAGAAACCAACAATAAAACATCCCTATACTTACAAAAGCTGTCTGTAAAAGGAAAGCATATAAATAAGTATTTTAGCTGATTTAAAGTGAGATATACATTTGTTGATTCTCGTCAAAACAATGTCAGTCTGAAAGTTAATTTTAGGCATTCTCGTCCTCTGTTAATCAATGTCAGTTAAGGAAGTACATTCACAGTTTCGCTAGTCAAGGTAGGAGTTATCTGTCACTGCATTAACAACCATTTGAGTAACTCTATAGTTTGTTCTGAATAAATTATACAGTCAGAAAATGCAATGTAGTGCAGAATAACTTTATATTACTTCCTTTTAATGCAATTCTGGTCTGTCGTATGAGATGACATTATCCTATAAGAGGTAAGCTTCATCTCAATAGCCTTGGGTCATAATTCCATGCGATAGGTTTGCTTAGTAGAAAAAAAATTCGAATTTTCTGTAGGCTTAGAGGAGGAAAACACAATTTTCAAGAATTCTACACTTAAATCCTCTACGCATGATCATCACAGAACACAGAATGGAATGGTAGTCAAATCTATGCTTCAATTTCATCATTGACCTTGAAAGGGACTTTGACAGAATCTGTCATGAAGTAATTTTGAAATTGTGCACCAAAGTTTTAGTAATCTCATTCAGTAGCAGTACGACAATGTCACATGTCGAGTAATCCACAACCATTAATGATATTCCTCATTCGGGTGAATTAGATTATACAGAAGACCGTGTGTGTGTGCAGCGGAAAGAAGAGAAAACGTTATAATGACAGGAAGAATCTAGAAGATAGCTTCCCCGCGGATGACCCGTGTCTAATGTTAAACAAACTCGAGGATATACAGGCAAAAACCAACCGGCTGGCAGAAGAAGCACCAAATACATGATGTCAGGTGAACCTACACAAGACGAAGGTGATGAAGATAAGCAACCAACTAACAAACCGACAAACCAACAACAACGAGCACCAATCACTATCAATGAGAGAAATTTGATAGGAGTTACCTCCTCCAATTATCCAGACATCATTATTTCAAATACTGGCAGATGGTGCCGATGGGGGATGACAAAACCAGAATGCCAAAGCTAAGATAAGTCTTCATCCCTCTGAAAGCATTCATTCAGAAAATCTCCTCAACTCAGTACGATGAATTAAATTCTCATTTTCAACACGATTGTTGAGTGAGTCCATCTCTATGTGTGAGAATCGTGGGCTGAGCTTCACGAAAAGAATGTAAAACAGGCGTCCGAATACTTTTATGAATAGCTGATCCATTCATCTACTCCAGTCTGAAGATCAGATTACCGACTGGCTGGAAGGAATTATGAACCAGAAACTACGGAAATGAATCAATTATTAACCCATCGCTCAATAAATAGTGTCTCACTATTTGATAATACAAATCCATAAGTGTAAAATAACTTACCAAAGACATTCCATTCACTGGCTGAATTATATTTAAAGTTAAGCAAAATATATAAGTAGCATAATACGATTGTGAATGAAAAATATTCTGGAAATGCATCCATTCAAATGCAAATATTGAAGTGAACATTTACCAATGAGAACTATTTGCATTTATGAAACTTATTAGCTCAAAAAGTGGATAACCAAATCAATCATCCAAAAGAACCTTAATCAAAATTCAAAGAAGATCATAAGTGTCGATCTGTTTTCACGTCAACGATCAGATCAGTGTATAAATATTTCCTTCCAGTTGCTGATTTTTAAGAAAATCCTAATATCATCTCCTTAATAATGTTAAATATCTATAAAAGTACTGGGTTAACTTGACAGCAAGCCAGCTTTGTTGGTAATAGATAGTTGGAGGCGATCGGCCAAAGGAAGCCTTGCACCAACTAGGTATCGTGTTAGTTGGCACTCATCAAAATCAGTCAGCAAGGAGTATCTGCAACCTCGAAAAAACTCATGTCCCACTAACTGAGATTCGAGCCCGCGTCACCCAATGCTGCAGTCAGAGACGTTACCACTGATCTATTCGTGCTGGCTCGCGAGTGAACTCCTGTAGGAATATATTGCATATATTTAATGAGACACTAGTCAGTAACTAGTGTCATGGGTCTAGTCCTATCAGCGGTAACGTCTTTGACTGCAGCCCCACTGGCTGATTGGTGAGTGCCAACTAGCAGGATATCTAGTTGGTGGAAGGCTTCCTGTGGCCAATCGCCTTCAACCATCTAATACCAACAATTCACAGTGCACCGTGATGGCGAGCCATCTAGTGGCATGGTTGCCACATCGCAATCTTGACTGATAGAATTCAGTCTGCACCAAAGATAGGACTGGACACATTACACTAGTTACTAACTAGTGTCCAATCAAAAATACCAAGTCAGCTTGTTGAACAGTTTCATACTGTATACATTGAAAGCTTCTAGAAACTCAACACCATTACTGACCTAGTCTGACCAATTGTTTCAAAAAATTGTATTATTGTGATTCCTTTAATGAACGTAGATCCACTTACCAGCATATACGTAATCTGAAATTCAGTAGTTTCAAAAAAGATTTTAATTAATTTTCTATGCGAAAATATTCAATTCACATTTCAAACAACTTCATAAATTTCAAGAAAATAATTGAAATCGCTTTTTCATCAACAACAAAAGAAATACTTTGATGCTCCAAATGACTAGAAATTAGCGTTACATTCATTGAACATTGGACATTGAAAATGGCAACCAACTATGTAATCAATTATGTATCCATCATATCCATCAGAATTTAAATTCTGCACCACTGTATTTTAATGCTCAATAGCAGTGAGTATCAAATGGTTTATTGAGGCTATAACCTTCTTAAAAATGTTATACAGAGTTTATGTCAACTTTATTTGTAATACTGCGTTATTTCTTAAGTTGATTGACCTTCGAGATACTTATAGATTATTCATCTGAATAATCTCAAAATTGAAAGTTTTTTCGAATAAACCAAAATAAAAATGACTGAACAATTCAGATTCTTGAAATGTTCAATTAATTTCGTAATTAAAGTAGACTTTTGTTTAACTAAATAACTCTACACTCCGATGATAAGAACTAAACGAAAGTTCTTGAATCATTATCTAGCTGTTGGATATTTACATTGTACTACAACGTTTTACAAGCTTTGGAGCACTCTAAACGAAAATTCATTCAAACTGATTACTCACATCACATAAATTATAACGAAACGATTATAGTGTAGTGTACCTTGAACCTTTGAATTTTTGTTTTAACGCATTCATTCAGTTTCTGGCGCCACACCATCTTTTGCTTTCCAACGTGACTGCAAACATGTGGTTCGCTGTCTTGTTGTGCTATCTATCATTCAGCGCACTCTTTGAGATTGCTACCCAGTCGAGGCATCAGAAAAGTTGTATAACATCTTTATTTATTAAAATTGATATTTCTTTGTGAAAAAATACAACTCGCTTTAAGGCACACTTTCAGTCCCAAGTCTTTTTACTTTAATTTCGTTGGTCAGTACTTACAGATTAGGTAAAGTATTTAGTAAGTGCGGTTATTTGAATTCTGTCTTAAGTATATCCCAACACTTACAATATTCCGACTACAAGAGTCCAAGTCGCTTACTGTAGTAAAGTTTTCCTCTTAACAGACGTAAATGTAAGAAGGAGATGGGCATCCTAGCTCCCCCTTGTTGACTATTATCAACTAAAATAGCATCTCTCATGCCTAATATGAACAGAAAATGAGGATTGATACTCAAAATAGTGTATTAAATAAAATCTTAAATGTAATTTATGATATTTATGAGAGAAAAAAAGAGAAAAAATACGCATTCATTACCATAGGCCTGCAGAAAGAGAATGACAACCAGTGAGTTGAACATCATCATTCTTATTCGTTGTATAAGTGCCTCCAGAAGAAAAGTGAGAACAGTCTGAACTCTGTCTCTCTCTGATTTACAACACGACTGTCTCTGGTTGTATATATATACCTTTTTCTAGTAAATAACACATGGTAAAAACGATCCATCATGTGTTTTCCTTTGCGAGACGGGGGAACAAACTGAGACAAAGATAATTGATTACTTGGCTGATTTATCAGTAAACACGCCACTGTCATTTCATAACTTTACTCAGTCTAATTTGTTTCATAGAACGTCTGTATTCTTTGATTACTGTTCATTAGTAGTCATGTGAAGTGTTCAACTCTAATCAGTCAAAATAGTCGAGACTTTATGCGAAAATAATAATGACTAAATTTTAAAAACAACGACATGTTTTGAACATTGAACAAAGCCAAATATTTGAATAGAAAGCGATACATTGTCTACGTACATACTAGTCTTAGCAGTGTTATTGCTTTCGCAAGTCTAATAATTAATTTGAGAAAATGTCATACACAGCGGGAATGATTTCATTATTTAGAAAACAATGCAATATTTATAGAAGTATTCTATTTATAGAAGTGTTGGGAATCTGCGAGAGCAGATGGAACGGATGTGGAAGGAGCCAACTACCAACTGCGGAGACAATTGTCTACTCTGGTCACCCAGAGGACGACCACGAGCACACCGAGGGAGTAGCCATCATGATGTCACCAACAGCAGCTAAAGCTCTCATGCAGTGAGAACCAATCTCCCCCAGGAAAATGACAGCTAGGTTCAATTCAAAAGGAAGGAAGGTTACAATCATTCAATGCTATGCGCCTACAAACGTCTCAGAACAAGAGAAGAAGGAGGCCTTCTACAGACAACTACAAGCAGTAATGGACAATGTCCCAAATGATGATATCAAAATCCTGATGGGTGATATGAATTCGAAGCTGGGAGGAGACAATACAGGAATAGAACTCACCATGGGTCGCGAGGCCCTCGGTGAAATGAACGAAAATGGTGAACTCTTCTCAGACTTCTGCGCCTTCAATGATTTGGTGATTGGCGACGGTGTGTTCAAACACAAGGATATACATAAGGCGACATGGATTTCATCAGATGGACACCAGAAACCGGATAGATTTCATTTCAATCTCAAGGAAGTGGAGACGGAGCCTACTGGACACAAGATCAAGGAGAGGAGCAGATGTGGTTTCAGACCACTATCTAGTACAAGGGACTTTCAAGGTGAAGCTGAAAGCCTCGAGGATACCTGGGGATAGGCCACAATGCAAGTTCAACACTCAACAGCTGAAGGACACAATCACACAGGACATTTTCACTGCAACTGTCAGAGCAAAGCAGGAAACACTACGTGTCACCACCGACGAATCATCCGTGGAAGACCATTGGAACTCTCTGAAGGTAATTTTCAACGAAACGTGTTCAACGGTTTTAGGAAGAAAGAAGAAGCAAGACAAGGAATGGCTCTCAATGGACACTTGGAAACTAATAGAGGAGAGAAGAAAGGTGAAAGAAAAAATGATTCGATGCAAAGATGGACAAGAGAAAGAGACGCTGAACTCAACTTACACAGCACTGGACAAAGAAGTGAAGAAGAGTGCCAGGAAGGACAAAAGACAATTCTACGACAACCTGGCTACTGAAGCTGAGAAGGCAGCAGGCAAAAGGGACCTAAGGACACTATATTAGATAACCAAATCTCTATCCGGGAAGAGATCAACACAAGTGAAACCTATAGAAGACAGCCAAGGGAACCCAATTACCAAAGAAGAAAGACAGATTAAACAATGGGCGGACCACTTCAAAGGACTGTGGAACCGACCATCACCTGCAACCCGTCCAGAAATACCAACAACAGCACGTACACAACTGCAAGTTGACACCAATCCTCCAACGAAAGCTGAAGTCATGAATGCAATCAAGCTTCTGAAAGCTGGAAAAGCAGCTGGACCAGATGGAATACCCCCGGAAGCACTGAAAGCGGACCCAGAAACGACAGCAGATATGCTGACTCCATTATCGCAAAAGATCTGGAAAGAGGGAAAGGTGCTTACTGACTGGAGGAAAGGTTACCTCGTGAAACTAACATAGAAGGGCGACTTAGGACTCTGCAAGAACTGGCGTGGAATCATGCTCTTGTCGACGCCAAGTAAAACAAGCTGGATTCAGGAAAGGCAAATCATGTTCTGACCAAATTTCAACTCTACGCAGCATCATTGAACAAAGCATGGAATGGTAATCAAACCTCTACCTCAACTTTATAGACTTTGAGAAGGCCTTCGACAGCGTTGACCGCGAAGTAATTTGGAAACTACTCGAGTACTACGGCGTAGCCCAAATATTCGTCAACCTTATTCAACAGCTGTACGACAACGGCACATATCAAGTGATCCACAAGGAAAACTCAGCGAGCCTTTTTGAGTAGACACAGGAGTCAGACAAGGGTGCTTATTATCACCAATGATATTCCTAATTGTGGTAGACTGGATTATGCGTCAGATAGTGGGAAACGAGAAGACAGGGATATCCTGGACCGACGTGAAGAACTTAGAAGACCTGGATTTCGCGGATGATTTATGTTTGATGTCACACAAAATCGAAGACCTACAAGCGAAAACCGACGAACTGGTCGAAGAAGCAGCAAAGACAGGACTCCAGGTGAAGATGATGATGAAAATAACCAACAACAACAACAACAGCAGCACAGACGTCCAGCGCCAATTACCATCAACGGGAGGGATTTGAAAGAGGTTACTTCTTTCACTAATCCAGGGAGAATCGTCTCAACTACAGGAGGAACGGATGAGGATGTCAAATCGAGAATCGGGAAGGCGAGAAACACATTCATCAACCTGAAACCAATCTGGAAATCTTCGTCACTCAACTCAGCATCAACAACAAAATTCGGATTTTCAATACAAACGTCAAGTCAGTTCTTCTATACGGATCAGAATATTTCCAACAAGTTGCAGACCTTTATCAACAACTGTCTTCGTTCTACACTGAAGATCAGGTGGCCGGAAAGAATCACTGACAAGAAACTATGGTAACAAACAAAACAAGAACCAATCGCTCAACAAATATGCAGGAGAAAGTGGAGATGGATTGGACACTCACTGGCTGAGGAGGCCACTGGGTGACATCGCGCGTCAGACCCTCAATTGGAACCCGAAAGGGAAGCGGCGAGTGGGACGTCCAAGGGTGACATGGAGGAGATCGTGTGATGACGAGCTGAAACAGTATGGACTAACATGGATGCAAGTGAAAAGTACAGCAGAATACAGAAGCAAGTGGTGGCGTGCAGTTGAAGCCCTATGTTCCACCAGGAACCCAAGGAAACAATAATACAATAATAATAATAATTCTATTTATGTGCAAATAGATAAAGTTCTTATGGAAGCCGTCGGTTCATAGTTCGACTCTCAGTAGGGGTAATATTACTCACTGTGGGAATGCAGTTACACCGCTAAGCGGCAATTCACAAATAGGGACGAAATATGAGCGTTCCGCCTAGCACGCTGCTGGTCGCCGTCAATATAAAGAACCTCCTTATCAGCTTCCAACTGTTGTCAATCTTGAGAATGATTAAAACTCTGTGTGAACTTCGCTGTAACAAGTTATTCACTCACAACAGGGAAA